AAAAAATCAGAGAAGGAACTGTGGAACAGTTAGCTAGCCAAAGTCAACTGAGCTAAAACAAATGAAGGAACTGAGAGGTAGAAGAAACTGGATCAAGCTAGAAGGGATAGATCAGCAAAATGGGATAAATTAACAAAAGAAGCAAGAAGATTGTGTTCCCAGAACATCTTCTGTTTCAGGATTCTTGATTTTCAGCACCTCCCTGGACTCAGCATGGAAACCCTCAGGCTAGCCCCTTTAGTACTGACATTAAGACAGTTAAGCACTAAAGCATTAGTGTATGCCAAACTGGAAAACACGGAACCATAATGTAACCTCCTGGCATATGAGTGTGATGACACAGACTGAGTGCCAGACAACAGACTTCTACACAGGACTGCTACTTCATTTGCCACACCACAAGAAGGACCTACTCCTGAGAAGCGAAAGATTAAGTACTGAAGAACAATGCTCTCTCTTGAGCATCCTGCTTTGTGTGCTGCAATGAGGTACACACATGTCATAAGACAGTGACAAGACAGAGCAAGAGAAAAGAGCATAGTTACAGTAGTAGGATAAGCACCCATCAAAACTAGACTTTATCTTTTCCTCTGCCAGAGGAGTCAAGAGGATAGCAGGAAAATAACTGAATTTAACTCCTCTGAGTTGTGCTCAGGATAAAACACTGCTATCTCATTTCTTAAGCACTGAATGCTGACAGCTGTGACTGAAGCCAGTAAGAGCTGTGCATCAAAAAGTGATTTGTAAAGCTAGGTATTCTTAAAAGAAAACGGGCTAAAGGGATCTCATATTACTGGACACTTTGACCTTAACCTTTTCTGCAGAATTGGAAGAGGAGTATCACCAATGGGTTGCTCCCTTGAAGTACACAGTGATTACAATTCTGGACAGGTCCCAGATATGGGAGAGGGGGCTACTTTCTTGAGAGCCCCCAAACCAGCACAGGACCTAGAAAACCTGTTGGAGAATTCCTTTGCCCCATGGGACCCAAAAGCCTGCTCTTCCCTCCTATTCCTATTCCATCTCCAGCTTCTGATAGAAGTAATTTCTGTCCAGAGATTAATCACACTTCCCCCAGAACATCATTTGCACTACATCATCATGCAAGTCCTGAGAACATGTACTAAAAAATTCATTAAAAAGTACTGGGTAGCTGTTCACTCTGTGTATACTGAGTGTGGTGACAGTCCTATGGGAGAAGCCGGTATGTGTCATCAAAGACCGTGTCCTAACACATATGAACCAGGACAAAAAAAAAGGCTGTACAAGCAGCCCAAACTCTCCTAGTTCATTTATGTTAAGAATGCTGTTTTGCTGCTTTAACATTTTTTTAGACACAAATTCATATGTATTTTAATTGTGAATCAATACATACTGACCACATATACTTAACAAATGTATTGTAAAGGTATGGAGAGAGGTCAAAGCACTAGCTTTCACTTAATTTTTTTATGGGCGCTGCAGCATGAGGTCACTTATTAGGGAACATTCAATAATTAAATCCAGTTCATCAGGGAAACACTATGTTCTCTTTAGTTTATCAACTAATCACACCAAGCCACCAATCCATCCTGTAAGATGTCCACTTCCAATTCAGATTTGTTTTAAAAGTTTATCTGAAATCTGTTTTTTCTTGCTAGAATTCAATTCTTTTGCCTAAGTTCTGGATACAGAAAAATGCAAAGAATAATACGTAATTCAGGTGAATGTTTAAAAAGGGCAAAGATGACAAGAGCTATTTGCTTTCGTTATTGATCAGTAATTTTCAGTCTTGCTGCTTGTCAAATGGCTCCACACTACTATAATATCCTGTAAAACAAAGATGTTTCCTGAGTTTTAAAGGAAATCAGAAAAGGGAGAGAAGACAATAATTAGGAAGAATAAGGAAGGGAAATTTAATAAACTTTTTTTTTTTTCCTTACCCTGGATCTTTTTACTGCAGGCATTCAGGATTGGAACAGAACAATAATTCATTGCAACAAGAGCCAAAACCACACGTAGAGCATTCGGGAAAGTCAGATGGTCTATCTCTTTCAAAACTGCCATCTAAAGTGAGGTAGAGTTTGTTAAATCCTTCATTCTTCAGGTATATTATCACTGCTTGCTCGTGAAGGCATTTTCACCAAAACTTTCCCAAATTCCTTAGCCTGTTCACACTTATATAAAAGAAAAGGAGCAGCAAACAACAAAAGCATAAAATAACTACTCTCAATTTCTTAGTACACAATTATAGCAGATCAAGTGTTCTAGAGCCGTGGCACTCTGCAAATTCCCAGCGATTTGCTTTTATATGGTTTTTTGAAAGGAAGAAGTCTGAATAAAGCTCATTTCCAAACACTGTGAATATGTATCTTCTACCAACTCTTTTAAAAAGTAGCAGAAATTTAATTGGCACAACTAACTTTTAGTCCTCCAATTACTGTTTTGGGTGTGCATGAAAGCTGTAAGCCTTCAAAGTGATTCAATGTCACACCAAGTGGTGTATCTTTAATACAAACACCCAGCTCCAAATGTGGACTGAGGCACTGAAGGTCAGCTCTAATGCCACAAAAGAGACTTTATATATTGAGGTAGTAAGTAGATTGATATAAGTAACAGTAACAATGAGACTACAAAGTATATTGACTATTAAAATACAATATTCTTACTGCATGCATATCAAAGGTTAAATACAAAATGCATCTACAATGGAAATTACATAGTATTAAAAACAGCACCCTGTAGGTTTAGGAAATTAAAAGCTCCCTTCAGTTAACAAGTGGAAATGTTACTTCCCTCCCAGTTCCATATTCCAACACAACTTCAGCAAGTTTTTCATCATCCTGTAAACAGTGGTACTTTTTCCAAGGTTTTACATTTTACTTACATCCAACACATTGCACAAGCTCCCTGCACTGCCCTGTTCTTGCTCAGTTTCCCATCAGTGATACCTTCCCTCACTTCCCCACGAATGCTATTACTAACCCCGACCACAGTGCCCTTCAGCTATGTGATGAAACCCCCAGAGGCCCTGTCTGAAAGGTTTCAAAAAGTGTCTTTAAATCAGGGGATGAAACCCAGTATGCCCTGCCATAAAACCTACAGCCTGCTCGCAAACAATGTATTTCCTAGGGGACCTTTCAGATACACAGAAAGACAAGGCCATAAAGTAGGTGAGTTCTCCTGGCATCTCACTGCCATCAGTCCTCGAGCCCATAGCATTATTAGACACAGCCCCATCATAGATTAGTTTTCTGTCTTCTTGTCTTCCAGCCACAAGCTGGTCATGGGAATCAGGGAACAGCCTGTAACTGCTTCTGTGAAATAGCATGTGGCCAACCCAAACAAGAAGTGAGGGCACTGCTATTTTACTGCTTCTATTCTTTCTGTGCCATTTCCATTGCTTTCTGTCCCCTTTCATGGTGGGATGTTCCCAAGCCTCCAAATTTATGTTCTTCCTGCAGATATAGCTGGACTTAAGATTCATATAGCAAATGCAGTTAACCTTTCTATTTTCTCTCTGAGTGTCTGGAAAGAATGATACACAAGTTACATAAAAAGTTATAAACAATGCAACGAGCCTCCAACTAAATTTACCTCTAATTTCTTTTTCAGAAAGAGTGGAGCATCTTTTCCTATGCATTTCATGAGGTTTTGCAGTATGAAGATGTCTCTGATACCTGGAATGCGCTGCTCCACTAGTAATCTGATGAAGAAACACACACAAGGCCTTGAGCTAGAGAGAGTAACTGTTTGATAGACCTTTCCTCATTTTAGCAGAAACAGGTAGGTACTCCCATTCTCCCTCACTGATGCACTCCCAAGTTAAAGTTGTAATTCCCTGCTCCTCTCCCACCTCCTTTTTTGCAAGGCTGAAATAAGGTACATGACGTAGCTGCAGCACAGATGTTTTGCAGATGGAAATAATTATATATGCTTTCTTAATGTTATCCTGATAGATGAGTATTTTTCCTGATACATTAACAGCAGGGGCACCTGACCAGACTGCACGTGTGACTGTGCAAACATGAGTGCTGTTAAGTCTCAAGAAATTGACACCTTTCTGCAGAAAGAAAAAAAAAAAAACCCAATTGCACATTTTTATCACAAAATCATCTATGTGCAGGCAAGTTCTGAAACAGCTAAGAAACGCAGGGACAGACAGTGACAACAACTTGGTGCAAGTAAGTTAAAAAGCAAATGGGCAGTGCTGTGGATTGTAGGAACAGAAGGGGATATCATAACATAGAGGGACCATAAGCACAAGATGAAGGAGTTCTGCATTCCCAGCACCTCCTTTTCTGGCTCAGAGGGAGGTATCGTAATTGTTACGTATGAATCACCCTAAATATACCTGCACAGCTACAAAAAATGAAGCATCACATTCTAAGGCAGTGCACTGCTCTGAAACTCATCCCTGCAGATGCAGCTTCCTGCAAATGGGCAAGAGCTTCAGATGTCAAGATACAGAAAGACTTGTAGTTGGATGTCTTGCTTTCCACCAACTTAGAACTGTGTACTTGAGCTTCCTGGAGAACTATCACTAACACATCCACCTTCTCAAAGTGGGATCTGACACGGAACCAGAAGTACTAATCCATGGCAAATTTTGTGACAACCCCAGTAAAAACAATCTCATGGGAGTGAGCAGGTTGGTTACCCAAATTACTCCCTGGCTGTTAAACAGCATTCTTCACCATAACAAATCAAAATACTTCTCAAAGCCAGTCTTCTTACCTCTGTTCTACCCATGAAAAACACAGAGGCATAGATATGTGAGGTGACTTGATCAAGACCACAGAAAAAGCACAGTGGTGGAACTGCAGTCACAATATGAATCCCCATGCAGAGCAGTCTGGCACCCTATGCCATCAGAAGCCTTTCTCCTTGAAACAGCAGACAACGCCAAAAATCACTGTCTTGTACAGCTGTTATCTCATGTGATCATTTAAGCCCTAAAACCACAGTGCCTTATATGCGCATTCTCTTGATCTCTAGAAGACATATATTCAAACAACATTTAAATATGAAGAACATGTGAAAAATGTATTTTTCTCACTGTAATCCAGCTTGAAGAGCGCTCACGTTCTTGTCTTTATCCAGCCCTGATAAAGTAGTTGCCAAAACTGAGAGACATCGGTTATCAAGTTGATTGAGCTTCTCCTGTTAAAGTTTTCACGCTGTCAGATTACTTCAGACCAGTAAAAGTTTCAGAAAAGAAAAACTGACTACTCTTAACCTGTACCTGTCATCTTCCCTTTCCCCCCAGAAATAAATTCCTAAGCTTTAATTCTGCAGTGACCTGCAAGGTCTCATGTCAGTCAAATTCAGTTGATTTGAAAAGGGTAATGATTTTTGAGACTTCTGTCAAATCTGTCTGAAATCAGGCAGCACACACAAATTAATTATGAGAGACCTGTTTCTATGGAACATCAGACTAAATGAGGGACATAACCCAAATCTCTCTGATGTTGCACAGCCTCCCAGAATTAGCCCCAAGGTTTCAGCCCAAACGTAGGGATTTTGATACTTACTTGGCACACTCTCAGCAAAGTCTGGACTAGGAGAGTGTTCTGAGGAACACCTAGGTTCAACAGAGCATGCAGACTGAACACCAGGTCACCCCGCGACATCCTTCTGGCATCCCGCAGCAGCTGCTGACAAATCTTGGCAAACATTGGGTGCTCAAAGATCAGCTGCTTCTCGTAACGCTGCTGGTCTTCAGACAGGTTTTTGAAGAGCCTCCATGCCATAGTTAAACAGTTTGTGAAATGCTTAATGGAAACTGCAGACTCCGAAGCCAAGTCCAGTGCATCGCAAGGACAGGTACACTTCCGGAGACTATTAAAGAACAGTTCGTCACGATCCGTTACAGGCTTCACTTTGGAGCTCCCAGAATCATCCAACTTTTCAAGTTCGAAGGAGCTTTGGGGAGCCTGCTCACTCACCAAAGCCTCCGCACCCTTCTCTGGTTCTATTTTAGCACCTGTGCTAAAAACATCTGTCTTTTGAGACAGAAATCGAAGAGATGATCCACACGGAGAAGTAAAAATATTTAAAAATAATTTCCTGAAGTTGACATTTTCCAGGGGATCCCTGTATCTGCCAATCCATAAAATGCGGTTTCTTGTTGTGGCTGAAGACTTAGGAATGAGTACATAATTGCACCTATGCATGCATCTAACAGTATTTAACAAATAGCTTATTTTATTATTCATTTTTGCTAATGTCTTATAAATAGATGTGAAATGCCAACTCAAAGTAAGGGATCTGATGAAACTCTACCATTGGAAACAGTCCTGGAGAAACTGCATAAGATCACTTATCTGTAAAAACAATTTAAAATTATGGATTAGTTACCAGATTTTCAATTCCTACGGTTTCAATTGCCAAATCTATGCACATCTTTTACAAGAAAAAGGAGGAAAAAAGTAATTGGAAAAATATCCATGGAAAATTATTTGCAAGGGACTTTTATTGGCTCTCCTATATCTTAGTCAAACATCTCAACACAAGGCCAACCCATCCTGCGCGTCACCCCTTTATCCTCTTTGCCGTTTTAACCAAAAACTATACCGGGAGGGAGTCTTACTCCTAACTGACGTTCCTCCAAGCAAACACGTCTCCTGACCGCTCTGGTGGCTCACGGCCAACCTTCAGCTCCAGTTAACGGAATCCCGCCCGACTGCGACCACACACCGCCTGTCCCGAGGGCACCAAGAGGGGCAAAGCCTCTCGCTTCAGGTTTCGCTTTCTGCAGGCGCCGGGAATGCTGCCCAGGGGGTGACGGTACAGGCGGCGTAACCCCGCGGCCCGGCGCCGAGAGGAGAGGCCTTCTGGCGGCTCCGCACCGGAACACCCAAGCGCAACGGCGGGGGGTCCCGCCG